AAACCCAGACATTATACCTAAGTCTATGAAAGGGCTGACGCACTTTCAGCACTGCGCGGACATTTTCAGTCTGAGCAATATCAAGGCGGGCTTTGAGAAATGTCCAGATATCAACGGGAGTAATATCCGAAGTCACATTGTGAATTCCAAACAATACTGCGTCTTTAAGTAAGTTCTTTACTTTAATCTGGTTAGATCCCTTCCCAAAAGTAATCTCACATTCCCTCAGCCAGTTATATGTACGAGTCGCTTCTGGAGTGATCCGTCCATTTTTGACCGGGTTGGTGAAAGGAAGAAGGTTCACTGGTAACTTCTCCTGTTGATCGACAGGTGTGACCTGTCTACTGTTCGACTTTACGTTAACAGTGTTAATGTGTTTGCGGCGAGTGTTGAGGTGTCCCAACTCTTGTGCCTGCATACTTGGTGCCGAAGATTCAGACGATCTTTCGGACAATAATCGTTCTCCATCAACATTGCTGTGATTGGAGCTTAATCGTTTGTCAGAAGAACTGACAAATGGAATATAGCTTGATCCGGCCGATTTGGAGCAATCAGAGTCTGAACTAATTACTTGAACAGAATCCGACCCTATCGACTGCACACTTGGTGACCCAATGTTCGGAACGCGTCCTGAATGTTCAAAGAGAGAATCCTCTGGCTCTTGCGAGTCGGAGTCCTCTTCCTCAGAGACCACACAGAACTTGCCAATTCGTCCAGAAGTAGTTAAGCCTTTTGGGACGAGAGGTATAACCATCTCATCGGAAGCTGTTACTTTGGATGGCGCCGCACAGTAGACTGTGTTAGGCATAATCGGAGGACAAGTAAAGGTGAACGGAATAGGGTTTTGGCCCTGTGTTTCCGCTCGATACTGTTCCTCTAGTCTGATTCTTTTGTTCAAAGGACCAGCATTAATCGCTTCTATAAGTTTTCGCTTATTCGAAGTTAAGGCGGTTTGGTGACGACCCTTCTTTGCTAAAGAGGGGACGTACTCGCCGTAAGGGTCTCGTTTTGAAGGCTTGCGCTTTCCAATAACAGGACCACAGTAAAAGCTGGCAACGTTGACTGTCTTTGCATTAGTGGAACTAGTAATATTCTCCGATGGCGAATCCCGTCCAGTACAATCCGCATCTGACGTGGAACTAGTAATGGCCCCAGATGATGAACCCCGTCCAGAACAATTCACATCTGCCTCTAAGGAAACCGAGGAAACCCTATTAACCATAGAGCTCGAGGAGCACTCTACGTATCCTTCCCTGCAGGACATGGCCGTCTCCACATTGTGGCAACGAACCGACGGAACTTTATTAATATGATTTGTCATGTTTCATTTAGAGGTTTGTCTTTCCGGCGACAGCCGTTGAAGC